TATGACTGCCCATGAAAAATATTGTGTAATATCTTGGGTGCATATTGATAAATCAATCGCGACTTTACTGCCCAGAGTCACAAGGGTTGAGGAACCGTCATTTAAGTATATGAGATTACATTGATTAAGTGCTTGGGATAATGTGTTCCCGTAGATATCGTTAGAGTCGCATCCCCAGGCGAGGCTGTGGGCATTAAAGTCGCCAGTTAGTAAAAATGGTTTCGGGATATTATCTAAGAAGTTTATCCAATCTTGCAATTCTATCCGGGTTCTAGGTTTGATGTAAGCTGAGGCAATGTACAGGAGTTTATTATTAGGTAATGATTTGATCGAAATACATGTGCATTCGATGCCTACGGGTTTTTGTATTTGTACCTCGTTGTATAAAATATTTGTTTTAATTAATATAGCTACGCCGCCGTATCCGTCATTACGGTCTGCACGGATTGTATTGAATCCTCTAAAGTTATAATATATGCCTGGCTTGAACCAAGTTTCTGATAAAAGTGCAAGAGTTGCATTGTTTTTATAGAGAAGATATTCAAGATTTCCTTTGTTGGAAACCGCCGATCGGCAGTTCCACTGCAAAATCTTGAATTTCCTATCTATGTCTGCGAATTTGGTAAATTTTCAGAACGGTCAGAAATATTTACGTTTAATTGTGTACTAATTATTTGTTTTAAGTCATTAACTGATACATTAAAGTTATTTGTTTCTCTAATTGTCTGTAAAATATTAGTTACTAATTCTAAAATAACTTTTACTAAGTTGTGTTCTATTTCTGGTGTTCTGTCTGATTGTGAACTATTAATCGGTACTAAGTTTGAAATATAATTTGGGTTTCTTAAAATGCTTGTAATGGGACCTGGATTTGTATACTGTGAAATAATTTCTCTACGCGCAATACTTGTAGGGTCCGGGCTATTTGGTCTCTGCCTTTTGTTACCCTTAGGTGTGATTGGTGAGTGATTGGTTTTATTAAAGTGTTGTAAGACTGTCTGATGACTTTGGGAGGTCTGAGAATTGTTATAACTGGAGCCAGGGGTATCAATATTTGTTAAATAATTATTGGAGACATGATTATGTGTCTGTCCTGGACCTATTATTTTATTTTCTATGTTTGAGGCGACTGTTGCATAAGAATTCCTAGGTATTTGTTTATTTGCATCGTGATAGCTTATATTTGTTGTGGACATGGAATCTTTAATTAATTTTTGTCTACTGAATTCTGGACAGGCGTTAAGATTGGTGGTGAAATGATCCCCGGAGCAACTGAAACATTTTGGTGTGAATTCTGTTTCTTTACAATCATTTGAGTTGTGTTGTTCCCTACATTTGTTACATCTAGCTTTTGAATTGCACTGCTTTCCTAAATGTCCGTATCTCAGACAATTAAAACAAAGCAGTACTTTTTGTTTATATGGTTCAACTTCTTTTAAGACTTTATTAATCGTTACACATTTGGGTAGGGTTTGCGATTTAAAACTAATTACGCACGATCTTGTGGGGACAAATTCTATTTTTCCGTCATTTGTGACTTTTCTATTAATTCGTTTCACATTTAAAACTTCGAGATTACAATATCTATCATAATTTCTAATTTTATTTTTAATATATTCTTCCGAAAATTCGGGGTCTATATCACGAATAACGCCCTGTCTAGTTACTATAAATTTAGGAATGTACATTTCAATGTTATTTTCTACGAATATTTTGTTGTTTTTTTGACTGATAAGGTAGTTAGCGTTTTTGTAGTCTTTTATTTTGATCCTAATTCTATTTCTGCCGATCGAATCGATACTCAAAATTTTATTATCTAATTCGGGGAAATTTGTTAAAATCAAGTCTCCTATTTTTAATGCATTTATTCTACCTGTAAATTTATCTTGATTATTTTCCACATATACATGAAATGGGCCGCTGTCGTGTTGTTTATACATAAATACCTGTTTTGGTTTTTTTCCTTCATCTATGTTTTTGGATGTATTGTTTTCCTGTTCTTTTTTTTTCCTTAGGTGTACTTACAGTAGAATTATTTTGTAATATAGCTGTTCCATTTGGGGAAAATCCATTCAGATCCATGTCTTCATCTTCCATTCTTTCTGTTAAAGGGGGCGTTGTGCCGGGGTCAGGGGGTTTCCCCCCTTGTTGAACACTCATTTAATATTTTTAAAGTACTAATTAATTGATCACTAAAAGTTTTTTACGTGTATTTAACACTTTACCGGTATCCGTAAATTTCTCGATTTCTCAGCTACGTATTTACCTATGCGCGACCGATTCGTACGAGAGCTTATACCAAACTGAGGAACGAGGTTGAACACATATTTTTATCGAGATAGGAACTTCTTAATATCATGAGAAGTTCTGGAAAGAACGAAATTAATAGAATTTGCTCACAACACCGCTAGATATTTTGTTGAAAAGTACCCACGGTCAATATGCCTCCGACATTGCACAAATACTTTATACATGGGCCTGAAATAATATCTTCTGCTTTGTTGCCTATAGACCAATAACAGAGAAAACTAATGAGGACGTCTTTAATTCGTTTTTACTTAGTTTCGACCTTGTAATCACGAGCAAACGAAAATTAAAAAAGAAAGAGCCCGCAGCACTTTTCTAAAGAAGCAGTAGATTTGTTTAAATCTGGACTCATCCAGCTTCATAGCCATGGTATATTCATGACACTGATGATGACCGTGGAGACGATAAAGAAAATGTCTTATCACATTCTAAAGAGGATGAAATTTGATTACAATCATCATAGCTTTTCTAAATCAAATTATTATAATATTACATTTTTATTATCTGTATCTTTAACGTGTGGAGGGTGGATTATCCCCCCCCCTCCCCTTCCCCCCTCCGGGCCCTTGGGCCTCATTAGGCCCATGACATTTTTATTATAATTTATGTTAGTATTACAAAAGAAAATACATAGAGGGCTTATAAAGTGTTTATTTGCTAAAAAAAAATAGATATTAAGAATAGAATATACATTTTTATTATATTATATTCTTAATAACTTTCTATTTTTTTTTGTTTTAGCAAACAAACAAATTATAAGCCCTCTATGTATTTTCATTTGTAATACTAACACCTCTACAAAGCAATATTTAACTTACAAATTCATAAAGAGAGTCTGTAATTTATTGTCAACTTTGATGGCTTGTTGCCCAGTGTGCGTCGGTACCTTTTTCTGATTTATTCTAGAAACATTCTGATCTATCCTCTTATAATTGGTTCTGGGCTTACTGCTGAAATTTAAATCTGTTTTTAAATATTGTTGATATCTTCCGAGAAACAATTCCTTTCATTGTTATCTTACCTTTTTGAATAATAGTCTTTTTGAAATTCCTCAAGGAAAATACCGTGAAGCAAAAGTAAAACATGTGCGCGACTATCACGACAATCATCAGACTATAATACGCGAAAAATAGCATTTTCGGTTTGTTGTTTTGCTCAGAATAATCAGGACACGATGGAAAATCTATAACGAAATATTCTTTCAAACAAAATGCTGATTGAAAAATGTGTTTCTCTAGAAAACTGATTTTTTAAAACCTTTTTTTAAATTGACTCTTTCTATATATAGTTTTACTCGTTTATACTTGGTTTACACGGTATCTAATGACTAACTTTATTAATAATACACCCGCTATCAATAACCTCATCTGACACGAGATTATACAAATTATGAAGGGATTATCTAATTTTGTTTTTCATTCTTGATAATGCCAATTTTATCGTCTTCAATTACATATTTAAATTCCTTGGATAAAAAAACAAAAGATTCAATTCGAAACGACCGAAAATATCACATGTAATACTATAATTAATATACCGCCCAGTTGGCAAAGTTCACAGTTTATTTCTCTGTTATCTAAACTATTTAAAATCACATTTAGTCTTTATTATAGAAAATAAGACAAGTAAATATTTCAATATTCATTGGTACTAAAAATTGGATTTAAAAAGCTAATATAAAAACAAAATTAAGCCCATCGGTAATTATTGAGTGGTTATATTTTTAAGAAGTGCGGAAAGTTGTACTTTTCTGTACTCAATTATCAAGTTCAGTGGCGGCTAGTAAATTGTGTAATTGGGAGGACTGAGTATAAGAGCACCAAAAAATCAATACCAAAAATCATTTAAACTTAAGCGGCTAAATACGAGGCTTTTTAATTCCGTTACTTTCATAATAAAAATTATTACGAAGATAAATAAACAACACCACACTAGATCAACATAGCAAAACAAACCATAAAGCAATCGCCAGATGGGCTGAGTGGGCCGAGGGCTGAATGAGCTACGCCCGCCAAGGCTTGCATCCAAAATGCATAATTTCATAATTTCTTCCCAGTACTTCGCGATCTACACGTTGACGTCGGTAACCATATGGCAACCGTCCAGCGATTCGCTATGGGCTGCTGATACTACGCCGATACAATAATTATAGCGCGCATTTAATATGATAGAGAAAAACCGTATTATTTCTATTCGTATAGTACAGGTCCGGCTCATCCGTAGCTAATTAAATTGTTCGCTCACAAACTTTATTATTGGGGGTAAATAAAATTACTAAATAAGTATATTGAAATACTAATTTGCAGATGACTCCTGCTACTTTGCAGGGAGGGCGGCGCCCCATCGCCATCCCTCACCAGCAGCCACTGATCAAGTTTTTTTACGTCAGTTATTCCTCTTCCAAAATCAGTTAAAAAGATAAATAAAGATAAATACTTTTCCACACTAGTGCAAAAGCAAAACGTTCTAAATTTAAATGCTTGTGGATGAGAACATCTTTCCGCACGTCCGTATAGAAAATACTTTTTAATTTTTTATCATTCTGAATTTTTTAAACCCGTCTTTCTTATCTTCTAATTTTATGAAATCTATCTCCAATCTTATACGGATTGTGTTCACAAGAATGTAAAAATATCTATGTTTGGGTTTAGGTACTATTAGTTACTAAATTGAAGAAGTTAAAGTTTACTTACCTCTTTGCAACAAAACATTTTTAAAAGTTTTGTACGAATACCTAGAGTAAAATATATAAAATACTTGAGCAATCGTTACAACGCCAATAAGAACGTAGAAGATTATAAGCACCGGGTCAAGACTCTCACTTGGTGGAATATAATCATTATAGTGTGTCATATTTTATAAACTTTCCAAAAAAACCGTTGATTACACCGTATTTTCTATACTAAAGCGTTGTACGTTTAATCACAATCTATCAATGTTGTTATCTATATGATATTTGTGTTTTTCGGAATTTTTATCACCTTTGATAATTAAGATTTTGTCGAATTTGCGTATTTACCTCCACTTTATTACTATTCTGTTATCCAAACGAAATTTAATTAACAAACATTGTGCAATTGTGTGATGCAATTACGAGCCTAAATTTATACAGGGTGGGCCAAGAGAAACTTGACATAAACATGGCATAAAATCATTAAAAAATAGAGTAATTTGTGAATTTTTAAAATTTTAATTTACGATATAATTTATGTTTCATTTAAAAGTTGGAATCAGCCATGGTACTATAAAAACAAGGTATATTACGCAGATTGATACTGTAACGGCCCACTCCATACCCCTTTTGATCGTTGTTTATTCTCTGAAATCCTATTATTTACCTCTCAAATTTTGTTTTACTTTAAATTCTATACTTACTGTATTTGGCCTTTTTCCTCTAGTAGTAGTAGCAGCGATCGTCTACTTACTTAATTGATAATTTATATACCCACATTGTGATAATGTTAATTAAGGTAAACCAGGATTCGATGCAAAGTTTGGTGCAAATTGATAAATAAAACCATACCAATTATTATTTAAACCCTTTTATTCTTCATTCTTTAAATGTAATGCAATAATTAGCAAAGTGTATTACTGGAGTCCCGCTCAAACGCGGACTACCTTGATTTGCTATCAAGATATATTTTATTTACCTTGATGACCAACGGAGTTAATGAACAGCATCAATTCTCCAGTTGGTTAACTTACTGTGTTGATGTTTATATTTTTATTTAGCTTGATTCTATCCCAGCTATACACAGGATTGTATTCTCTTAGGTATTTATTTCGACGAGCATAGAGGTGGTGACCAACGGAGGTAACGAACAGCGTCAATTCGCTAGTTGGTTACCTTACTGTGTTGATTTTCACTATATACTTTATGTTTCAAACCTAGTAGAATGTGTGGCTAAGTATAGGTACCCCCTTGATCTAATTCACTAGTTGATTAACTTACTGATAAATTTTTCCAACCCTGTATATTTCTAAAATATTGATTTTTATTTCTATTGAAATGACTCAAATTCACTTATCGAAAAACAGATGTTTAACCTGTCTTTCGGGGTGAATGCCCGATGGTTAAATTGGTAATATTTTAAAGAAAATGTCATGCCCTTATTGAAACGAAATCCCGATGATATCTCAAAGAAAGTTACATAAATCTTTTCGACTCACCATTGAAAATACAGACATTAGGATCGTCTATACTAGACATTATGTACTAATTTTATCTAGTGTTGTGACGGCGTCGGTTTGGGTACGTCGCAGCGTTGAGCGTCTCTTTGCGTCAAGACGTCTAGCGTCATGGCGGAGAGGAAGGTATTTAATACGGTACTGCGTCGGGACAGATATACCGTAGGAAATACTTGGTGGTGCTGCGCAACGAAGGGTGTCGCCAAGGATATTATAAAGGAAATATTTAGGGACGGCAATCGTCGGGAAGTATGGCAGTGGGACGTTGATCGCCAGGACATGACAGCGTTCGGGGGATAGGTCGGCGAGATGAATATAAGATAGGAAATACTTAAGTGGTAAGGGACGTGACAGCGTTCGGCACGTAAAAAGGTAGGAAAATAGGGCGCCGGGACGTTGAACGGAACGGTTACAGCGTTCGGGGGCAGGAGGAATTGTAGGATATACGTCGGTTAGGAAGAGCGTCGATTTAGAATAGATTCTGATTACTGAACTTCAAATATAACTGGATACAATATAATAAAACGAATGCTTGAATACAAAATAATAAAATGAATGAATCTCGGGTTTGGGTATTTATACCCGTTTTAATTGCTTTTTGTGACGTCAGTTTGTCGTAGTTCCGGTGAGAACGAATTTTATCTTTTCTGTAATATTAGAGACCCCGTGAACAGAAATATTGCTTTTATTTATTAAGCATCATAGGTAGGATTTAATTATCTAAAAGATTTTTCGTTAAATGTAGGAATTTGAATTTAATAAGAATGTAACTTTTCTTTAATAAAATGGAATTAATAAAATTATGAAGGTACCTAGGGGAGGTAGGTTACAATACTATAACATGTGGTGGGGAGCCGTGGCTTTTACGAATTTGACGTATCAGCTAATCGAAAACAACATTATGTACGAACTCGACGAGATTTCGCTATAAACTCCTCCAAACTGTTATCACCTTGTATGTGAAGGGTGAATTCGATAGGAGATCCTCATAGATCAGTCTTAGACCCTTTATTATATTTAACTTTATGAGTTTAGTTCTTCTAGGTACTGGTTTATATTTCAACTTTCTAGAATGCACTATTGAAAAAATTGGCTTTAAAATAGACAAGCACCGCTGCCATGAAGTAGGTTAGTTATAAATTATTTATTTCATGTAAATAGATCATCTGAATTTAGTCCAATGTCAACAGTTGTCTGGTGGGTCTATTATTGACAGCGTTATCAAAGCGTTTTGATTTTCATAGACGGGTGCCATTTTGAACACTTACTGCAGTTTCAACATTTTGATTTTTAAGATTATTTTTTTTTTTTTTTTTTTTTCATGTTCCTTTAGAGTGACAAATTTATACTCTTCATACAGTAGTCTGTGAAGAGTATGCATTTGGTTCCGACCGTCCGTCTGATGTCACGTTTTTTGTCCGCACGATATTTAAAAAACGAAAAACGATATCAATTTGAAAATTTTAGGAAAAATCAAGCTCTATAAGGGGACAAAGCCTATTGATTTTGAAAAAATCAAAATAAAAATGGGGGTTAAGGCGGTTGAAATATTAAAAAAATCCTAACTCGGAAACAAAAAATGATATCAAATTGAAATCTTCAGGAAAATCAAGCTTTATGAGGGGATGAAGCCTATTGAATCTGGAAAAATATGTATAAAAATGAGAGGTTAAGGGGGGTTGAAATAAAAAAAATCGTAAATCAAAAACGAAAAGCGATATGAAGATGAAATTTTTAGAAAAAAATTAAGCTTTATAAAGGAATGAAGCCTATTGATACTGGAACAAATCTGAATAAAAATGGGGGAATACGGGGGGTTAAAATATGGAAAAAATCCTAAATCAGAAAAAAAATCAAACTTTATAAGGGGATGAAGCCTATTGATTCTGAAAAAAATATAATAATAGAGGTGGTCTGTTAAACTGTGAAGAGTATAATATAGAATGGGGCACCGTTTTTATACAAAAAAATAAAACATCTTAACGCCTACTAGTATTAGTGTCGCTAGGAGATAATAATGTATTAAAGAAATGGAAAATACGCGTTAAGATATTTTATTTTTTTGCATAAAAACGGCACCCCACACGAAAAAAAGGCCAGAGATATTTTTTGTGACAAATTTAATTAGGAATTCAAAAATGATTTTTAATTTGAAATCTCAGTGGCGTACCATTTTTTTCTTTAAATGAATTGAGATCATTACCCGTATGCACGCCAATGATGAACATAAAATTCTTAATTGCATGTCAAAAAATGCGGAATAACTACCTCTTAAAATCCACCAAATTTCATTTGCATATATATGTTGACCGGTTTCAGAGCAATAAACAAATCGTCAGTTTTTAAGAAAAATTTTAATACCCCGTATTCGGAAAACGAAGCATTTTCAGACATACGTTTATATAGCAAACTGTCATTATTTTTTTATGCTGAATCACCCCCTGAAGTTTGTCGCACTTATTTACTAACATATATATATATATACTTAGAAGGATGCACAATGGGCCTAGTGAGGTCTAATTGCCGTGGGTTAACCCATCCTCCACACGTTACAGATACAAAGAGAGATCGTACTTAGTTTTATCGATTCGTGTGCTTTTTTAAATCTACAAGGACGATTTTAAGATTTGTAATAGAATTGACACGTTGGAGCGCCAATTTGTAATAGGTCGGCGTTACTTTGCAATAAAATGTTAATTTCAAAACACTTATAAGAAATTTTGACTAGCTCATAGAAATTTAACAACAAACATTACTTACCTTTAATCAAATTAAAAAAAGGAATGAGCACATTGACCATATAGTTTTCTCAGTCGTGAATTCGGTTTTTCTTAGAGACACTTTTGGGAAAAATAGTTTTCTGGGAGATAGTGGCGCCAATAATTATCTTTTTTATTTTTAGAAAGCTAGTGAGAATTATAAACTCTAGCTTTATCAAAAGGAAATTAATTAAAACTTATATAAAATTTAGGTAAAAGAGAATTGTTGTAACCTTTAAATAATAGGAGTCAACATATTTTATGAAAATTCTAAGAAACAAATAAATATTGAGCTTAAGCTGGTGCCAACTATTTAAATTTATATCTCTAACATTAAAATTAGCCACATGTCTAGTTACCACTATATTGGTTTGGGTGGCAACTTCAATAGGATACAGTCTAACTACTGTAATTCAGCTACTCGAGCCCGAACACCAAATCTCTTTCTTTCTCCCATAGTTCTGCTTTCAGGAAACTGCTGTATTTGTCCAATATCAAAAATGGAAGATATAGGCTGGCTTTAAAGTTTACGTATAAATGCTAATGCTAGCTGTTCTATTCGCTTTCTGAACAAAAAATAAATTCTGTTTTTCACGTGGCTCTTGTATGAGATATAAATTAAATTTGAAATAACTACTTTTTAAAATTAAATCAAGATAACAATAAAAACTAATTACTATAAACAATGTGCAACTCCAGCAACCAAAATGAATTACAGAAGCATATTTAATAAATTTAACTTGACTTTCAAAAAATAAACTTATAACTAACAAGTAGAAATATAATTTCTACTGAGATATTTTTTATAACATTATTTTTTTTACTCACCGCTGTATACAGCCAGATACTGGTAGATACTTCAAGATAATATCGGAAAATGAAATTTTAAGACACGAAGTCGATGTCGTCTGCTTACTATACTCTCACTTCACACGAAATTTCCCTTTCTTAGGAATATTGCGTGCGGCGATAATTAAATTTAAATTAATCGAA